AACTCATAGAAAAGAAGGGATGACCAGGGGGAGGGAGGAGGGGAAGGGAGCACCCAGGAGGAGAGAGGAGGAACCACCCAAGGGGAGAGAGGACCCAGGGGGAGGGAGGAGGGAGGACCAGTGGGGAGGGAGAAGAGAGGACTCATAGAGGAGGGATGGCCTAAGGGGAGGGAGGAGGGGGATGGAGGACTCAGAGGGAGGGAGGAGGAGGACCCAGTGAAATGTTGAGCAGAAGCAATGGAGACTGTAGCTGAGGTGACAGTGGCCTGTGGGGAGGGAAAGTCCCTTTGAGTTACAACCCAGGGCTGGGCTCACTCTGATGATGGGCTCTGTTAGGGCAGCTGGCTGTCTGACCACACTGGCTGGGCTCTGCCCCTCCTCCCTGATCCTGATAAGAGGGAACCCTCTAACCCAGATCCCAGGGTGTTGCAGAGGGCTTCTAGTGTCCTGGGTGGAAAACTAGGAAGCAGAGCCCAGATTTGCTCCACCAGGACTCTCCTTCTCCAGGGTTCCGTCCCTCTGTGAGGCCTCCAGGCCTCAAGTGTAAGGCCACACACCACACCTGTCAGGAGGGTCTCCAGCCCCCAGCACTGTTTCTGACAGAGCCTTAGCCTCTCCAACGCTGAGAGCATTCTCTAAATTCGACTGAGAGTTTTGAAAACCCGCTCCTTTCAGGGCTCCTTCTATCCTCCCTCTTCTGGGGTCAGGGTGGTCTCTGCTCTGGCGAAGGTGGCAAAGTGGATGTGCTCTCTTGCTCTGACACTAGGGGACTTAGGTGCCACTGTATGTGGGAAATGGCTCCAGGCCATTCCCGTGTAGGGCCAAGATGTGTCCTTCCTGCTATGACGGTTCCTGCCCAATCCACAGCAACATGGTTCTCTCTGTCTCTCTATCTCTGTCTCTCCCCTCTCGGGATTAATCTTATCAAGATCAGCTTACTAAACAACATCGGCTCCCCCAGCAGAAGGAGGGACCCAGATGAGCTCGTTCAGATTTGTCCTGTGGAGACCCGACTCTCCTACTTTCCGAGCTGGGACACCAGTGCCCCCTCCAGGCTGCACAGCTGGCACGAGAATAAAACCAAATCTCTTTCACCGCTGTTTCTAGGGCCACCTCGCTCCTCTCTCCTTCCCATGCCTGCTCCTCCCCAAACCACTCCTGGCTCCCTCTCACCCCACCCCCACCCCCACATGCAGCAAGGCCACCACGAGTCTGCGGCTGGCAGAGAATCTCAAAGCCCAGACCTGAAGGCCTGATCGCCTCCTTCCTCATCTCAGAACCTTCCATGGCTCCCACAGCTCACATGGCCCTGCCTCTCTTGAGCTAGGGTCCCTGCACTCTGAAGTTTCTGGTCTTCCCATTATCCTCCTCCCCTGTGGCTCTGCCGAGGTGTGGCTGTCCAGGGATGTCCCTTTAAAACATGTTAGACTCCTTCCTACCTCACCTGATTCCCCCACAGCACCTACATGCCTGACATACTTCTCAGTACCGCTCTGTGTGTGTGTGTGTGTGTGTGTGTGTGTGTGTGTGTGTGTGTGTCTGTCTGTCTGTCTGTCTGTCTGTCTGTCTGTCTCTCACCAGAGACAGTGCCACACAGAAGGGCTTTCTGACTGGTGTACACCTTAAGTTCCAATAACTCACCATTTGTTCTCGTGTCTGCCCAGCCGATCGTCAGCCTCTGGCACAGGTTCCCCTGACTGCCTGATCCCCACCCCACCCCGACGCTGTGTGAGCTGAGATCTAAGATCAGAGCACAGGCTCCCACCCAGGGTCTCATGTGACACACACACACACACACACACACACACACACACACCGTGCATAGGATGTCAGTCTCCAGAGGCCAGCACGGTGCTGTCAGCTCTGTCTTTCACATCCTTGGAAGTCTCAGACCCTGTGTGACGATCCGTCTACCATGAGACCTGAGGCTGCCTGCCTGCCTCCCTGCTGCAGCTGAAGTGGCAGCAGCCAGATGCCCTGTGTCTCTCAGACAGACCCACCATCCCCAGGAAGAGGTGAGAAAGGCACGGGAGGAGCTCCTCCCCACTCACCTGAGGCCTCTCTTCAAAGCGTCAAAGATTTTCTTCACTTGCTGCGGCCGGGGGTCCAGGCACAGCGAACCCTTGCGCAGTGTTCCGTAAACCTTGGAGGATTTGGCTGGCAGCCGGGACCGCACAGAGTTCCTGTTGATGGACTTTCTGTAGGAGGGGACAGAGAGTCAGGACAGCTGGCTGGGTTCCACTTCCATCACCTCCACGATGGATGGTCTTCAAAGAGATGGGGTTCTCGGGGCCTCAGTTTCCTCATCTGGAAAATGGGAGGCCTGGGTTTGACAATGAAGAAGACAATAACAAAAGCTCAGCATCAGAAATGAGTTTTCAGTGAGGATGCAGCAAAGCAGCTGAGTGGCATGTTCCGTGCAGGCAAAGCGGCACCTACAGGGCTGAATCATAGCCCTGGGTTCCTGGAAGGATATGGAGAAAAACTCAGTGAATGGTGTAAACGCATTTACCTGTCGACAAAAAAGCCCTCGCCCAATGAGCTCAGGCAGGAAATAGGAGGAGGAAGTTCAGAAAGAGAGAGAGAGAGAGAGAGAGAGAGAGAGAGAGAGAGAGAGAGAGAGTGATTTATTCTGGGAAAGAGTCAGGTGTGAGAGATTTACCTGAACTCTAAGGAGACAGACCAGACACATGAAACTGAGAAAGTAACCAGCCATGTGGCACTCAGAATAGAATAAATTGGATTATTGAGATATGAGTAGTTGGGGAACAAAGCCAAGGTTCTAGCCTAGACATTTGTATATGAAATAATAAATCTCAGAGTTGTTATTTCAGGGAACTTAAGGGCAGGTAGGAAAAAGCCACAGTTACAGCAGGACACAGGCACCTGCTCAGCTCCAGCTGCTCCTGTGGCCTCCGTCAGGCACAGACTCCCCAACTTCTCCCGTGGCCTTTCCTCAGGCACAGACCACCCTCCCCCGGCTTCCACTGTGGCCTCCCTCAGGCACAGACCCCAACTCTGCTTGTTCACTTGCGGTTTTTGAGAAAATGGCTTTGATGGTTGGTTGTAACTGTCAAATCAAAACTATGTATAACCGACCGCCTGGGAAGAGTCCTGGTGAGGGCTTATCCAAATCGGGTTGGCCAGTGGGCGTGTCTGTGGGGAGGGGAGGGGTCTTTGTGGTCTTCATTGACATAGAGAGAGCCAGCTGGAGAGTAGGCGCCATTCCCTAGGTTTGGGCACTGACTGTGTTAGGGCAGAGAAATCTGGGTAGTCAGCCTGCACGCATTCAGTTCTCTCTGCTCTTGGTTACGGAAGTGATGTGAGCAACTGCTCCAGGTTCCTGCTGCCTTGACTTCCCTCTCGGGATGGGCTGTGACCCGGAAGTGTGAGCTAAACATGCCCCTTCTCCCCGAAGTTGCTTTTTGTCAAGATATTTTCTCCCAGCCACAAAAACTCAGCCAGGACAGTGGGCTGACGCGTCTGTGTGCACGCATGTCCCCTTGACCCGACAGAGGCCAGAGGACTAGGTGGGCAGCCTTCAGCATCTGTTTCAGCCGTCATCAGACTGGGTGGTCCTCACTGTTCCAGTCTCGGGGCTATGACGCAACTGTGTCTAGAGCCAACACCATGTTGGTTCTTAAAAGACAGCCACTTGGCGGGTGGTGGTGGCACACGCCTTTAATCCCAGCACTTGGGAGGCAGAAGCAGGCGGATTTCTGAATTTGAGGTCAGCCTGGTCTACAGAGTGAGTTCCAGGGCAGCCAGGGCTACACAGAGAAACCCTGTCTCAAAAAAAAAAAAAAACAGAAATGCAGGGCTTTTCCATCCAGATAAGAGGTCACTGAGCAGCCCTGGTGGTACAGTCCCCCTGGGAGTGGCAGTCCACAACTGGAGGCAGAGGATTGTGGGCTAGTGAACCGAGCAGAGGGGCGGGGCACAGGGGCATGGCTTTGCTCTTCCCGCGGCCCTGAGAAAAGCCACTAGGCTAGTTCCGGCTGGGTGAGATGCTGAGCATTCCACAGGTGGGAGACACGGCACAGACATGTACTTACTCAAGCCCTGTCAGCTTGTCACTCTGTTTTGGGACCAACCCACGCCCCAAGTCCCTGAAACTGACAACCCAGCACCATACCAAACCGCCCTGACCCTGAAGCGCAGGGGGGCTGTGCCTGTACTCAGTCCTGCATTCAAACCCCAGCCCCACAGCTCCAGGCCTTTAACCCACTCGGCCTCCGTCTCCTCCTCTGTACAGAAGGATAATGAAGTCTGCCCCTTGATGGTCGTGACTATCAATCAGCAGACACTTGCTGAGTCCCCTAGTGTGGCAACCACCATTTCAGGGGCTAGGACAAGACAGAGCAGTCACCAAGAGAGACAGACACCTGCCCTGAGAGATACGGGCCAGCTGGTGCAGTCAGTGTCTGGCTCTCCCACCACCAAGCTGTGTGGCCCTGGGGAAGTGATGTAGTCTCTCTGGGTTGCAATTGTCTCTCTGTGAAGTGGGGTCCAGGACTGGTAAACAGCAGGGACCACATGCCTGTCGCAGCTAGAGAGAAGTTTGGAAGAAGCCTGTCAGATAGGACCTGATGCTGGGAAAGAGAACAAGGTGGGCAGGGAGAGGGCTCCCCCATTGGGCAGGGAGGAGGCTCTTCCAGCAGTGACTGGAAAAGGGCATGCTAGCATTGCCCTGTCCCTGATGCTGAGGTTCACACAGGCTGTAGTTAAGTGACTTTCGAAAGCCCCTCCTTCCCATCCTCTCCCCCTCCCCCGAGGCCGCATCACCCACCTCTTGGACCGGGCCCTCCACAACGTTGCCATCTCAGGCTCGGACAGGCAACACTGCACACAAGGGGCCAGGTAGGTTCTCACAGAGGAGAGTCCAGGAAGCCAGCGAACAGTGAGGTGGGAGGTGGCTCTGGGTGGAGCTGCAGCTTACTTCAGGGGTTCACAGTGTCCCTCGGCCCACCCCTCCCCTCTCCCTCTGCCTCTCCCTGGGCTCCGGAGGCTCCGTCGCTGAGCCTCTGAGGGCAGTGGCTCCGAGGGCTGGCACTGCGCAGCTTGGATGGGGAAATGAGGCGCGTGCTGCATGGCCGGCTGGTGTCATGGGCTGGGAGCAGTTCTGGGGGTGGATGTGTCACCAGCCCCATGAGGGCTCAGTAAATATTAAACAGCCCCAGGCCTGCCAGACAGGCTTCCAGGCACGTGCAGCCTGGCGTCCAGGGCTCAGAGGCAATCAAGCAGGCTCTGCCTACCATGACTGTCCTCAGCCTCACTCCGCTGTGCCTAGCCAGGATCTGTAGCCAACCGGGCCCTGCGCGCATGCGCACATGCTGAACCTGCCCCAGCCTCCAGGCAGGGTAATCCCTGGACCGACTGCATAGATAGACTCCTAGCACATCAACAAGGCTGACCACTGTCCTGCCCCATGGTGGAGGGCTAGGACAGCCTTACCATGCTAAGGCTCAACTCTGAGTGCTTTGAACACTATTTCCCACGATCATTCCATGGGTCTTTGAGCCTGTCCCCAGGAACCATTTAACAACCAAGCTTGATGATCTACCCCCAATCCTGGCTTTAGAGGCACCTCTCTGACAGTCCTGGAGGACTGACTACCCTGGATGCCACGCCCATCAGTGGAAACTACTGGGTCACTGTCAGCACCTGACCAACAATCCCACCCCTCTACCCCCCCCAACCCCCGCCGAGCCTGGAAAGGGAAATGGCTTTATTACACAATCAACTACATCTTAGTGCTAAATTCTATCAGATAACTTCCCCATGTAAATTCTATATCTGCAGGGTAGAAAGCCCTGGCTAGTCCAAGAGTCGTGGTGGGACAAGATGGTGTGCCCCACCCTGAGCGGAGCCCTGCTTGGTCATTTTGTATCACCCATCCTGGTGTGGTTCCCCTCACCTCTGTCTGGTGAGCAATCTGGAATCAGAGGCAGAGGTGAGGCCTGAAGCCCGGACACCGGGGACACCGGGGAGACGGACAGAGGCAGGAAATTAAAAACAGTTACGCAGGGTCTAGAGAGATCCCTCAGCAGGTAAGGGCACTGGCTGCTCCTGCAGAAGACCTGGGTTGGATTCCCAGCACCCAAGTGGCAGCTCGGTTATAACTTCAGCTCCAGGGGATACAGCGCCCTCTTCTGGCCTCTTTGTGTACTGCATGCATATTGTACATGCATATGTACATGCAGGCAAAACACGGGTAGCAGCCTCTAGCACGCTCAAGCAGGTCTGGAGGACTCAGGCATTTGCAGTATCAGGGCTCACTTCTCTAGACCAGATGCAGACACTGCATGTACCTGGCTGACGGCCGTGATCCCAGGTATCATAACAGAACCAGTCACCTTCATCCTCCAGGAGTCCAGGGACAGCCAAGTTGGGGAATCTCTTGGAACATTTTGGACAGAAGTCCTGATGGGACTTGGGGGACACGTCTCACGGATATGGGGTGTTCTGAGGCCCAAAAGCAGCAGGGTGGAAATGTAACGTGTGAGCATCACCAGGTGGCTAGGAAGAGCACTTTGTCTGACATAGGGCCTCGTGGTGGGCAGTGGCCCCTCCTACTGAACTACACAGGGCCTTCTGTGCCTCAGTGGACCAGCTCAGAGATGGTCCCAGGCTATATGTTCCTTGGACAACTTACACACAGACCCCAGTGTGGGGTCCAAAAAGGCCCAAGCAGAGGCAGCATGGAGATGCCCAAGCTGAGAAACAATGTACAGTGTTCCCTCCGGGTTCCAGGCAGCCACCCCCCAGAGGCATCTACTGTCTGTCTTCCTCACAGTGGCACCGATCTCTCCAAGGCCAGTGACTACAACCGATCACCACAGGTTTTAGGCTTGCAAGCCCTCGGGAGGCACCACCAGCCTCTGCACCCTGTTCTGGGTCCAACATTGCACCAGCCATGGCTGAGCTGACATGATATTGTTTGCTTTTGTTCCCCTGGTGGAGACTCAAGCAGGGCAGGGCCTGAGTCTCTCTCCACAGATGTCGGCTGAGGAAGGAGAGTTCCACTGAGGCAAGCACCTCAGCTCTGGTAGTACACTCCTCTGGGCAGAGTCCAAATGTGGCCAGGCCAGGGCAGAGGGTGGCCTGCAAACAGCTTTACAGGGCAGTTGTTGGGTGGATGTGAGGTACCTGGCGACTGGACATGGGGTTCCCCCCCCCACCAGGACATGCTGTGACAACAGGAACTGCCCATGGAATTGGCTGGGACACACAGCATGTACAAGGGCCTGAAAGACAGAGAGGCCAGAGTGGCTAGAGCACAGGCTAACCCAGGGCCACTGAATGGCCTGGCAGCCAGAGGGGGCCACTGGGGTTTTTAAGCACAAGTGTAGGTGTGTGGCATTGTGGGAATTGGTTGTTGATCAGCTGACTGACCAGTCAGGCTCTGCACCGATCTGCACAGGTGCTGTTTGGGGCCTTTGGCTTTGGCATTTCAAGGCGACCAGCCAGGAGGTGGCTTCTGGGGTCAGTACCCAACTAGGACAACAGACCCTGGGGTGGTGGCCTCATCAGGACAGGAGGGAGCATGGGGTGGAGCAGCAGGAATAGCCTAGTCCTCTTGGCCCATGTGACCCAGTCAGCGACTCCTCAGAAAGCCACACCCCCCAGTGCCCTGGGTCAGCTCCCCTTTAACAACCATATAGGAAGCCACACCCCTCCTCTGTTCAAGTGAGGAAACCTGGGCTCAGAGAGGTGAAGTCACTAGCCTCAGGTCATAGAGCCAGGACAGGAGGCCCTGTGTCCAGGCTACTAAACAGGAAGAGCATTCCTTTCTACCCCACCCCAAGGAGGCTAAGGCCAACTAGGAAGACATTTTGCTGTGTGACCCTGGACGAGTGGAGCCACCTCTCTGAGGCTGTTTTTCTGATTGGCCAGGTGGTGATAAACTCAACAAGCAGGTTGACTATGACAGCCTTTAAGATGGCGTGGATCAGGCCAGTGGGAAACAACAACTTCCTGCAGGCATGCATGTACCCCACATAGTTTGATGTCCCAGGCTGCTGGCTGGGCTCTGTGTCCCCCACCCACCACCCCCATCCCCCATCCCCCATCCCCATGACACTTACGAGACCCTGCGGCTTTGCGCACTGCTGAAGCCAGCAAAGGAGGCGCTGCGGCCCACGGTCCCCACCGCCCCGGCATCCCCCGGAGACAGGAAGCGCAACCGCACAGACATGGCTGTCACCTGAGAGGAGAGGACAGGGAAGTTAGCATGACTGGACAGTCTGCAACAGCGCCGGATCCCCCTTCCACTCACACAGGAGCAGGTGGGGGGATGTGGGGACAGCCTGGGGCAAGCGGCAGCTGTGGGGTTCAAAGCCAGGCCTGTCTATCCTAAGGCAGAGCCCAGCTCCACAGCTGTCCTCTCCTCCCCTGCTGTGCATGCACCTACAGAGCACCTACTGTATACAGGCTCTGAACTACACACAGTACACCAAATGAGACAGCACGGGCAAAGGCCCTGTGGCACCAGAGGATCTGCTCTAACCCAGAAACAGAGCAGGGCTGCAGCTCCAGAGAGGCCACAGAACACAGGTCCCCAGAGAGTCGGGTCCCCTAGGAGGTTTTGGCCCTCCTGCTGGGCAGGAGTAGCTGGGAGCCACAGTAGACTTGGAGCAGCAGTGACAGGCAGCTGACAACAGGGCTGCTGTGGCCCTGGGCCCACTGCCTGTCTCCGATCCAGACTGTAATGAGGCCAGCCTACAGAACTCTGGCTGCCATCTCTTTTTTCCAAACCATCTCCAGGATGGAAAAATGTCCCTGAATCCCTGGGGATCACAGTACTTTGAGCTGGATCTTCTAGCACAGACAGTCGGAAACTTCTTCATATCTAACCTAAATCTCTGCTGCTGCTGCTTCATACGTTGTTCCTTAGCCAGGGTGGTGCTGGTCTAAGGATTCCAGGGACCCTACTGCCCACACACCAGCCACAGGCATCTCCATCCACGGAGGCTCCGGCACTGTATTAGAACCCCACCCCCATCCCAGATCTCTTTCACTTCCAAGCCTTGGTTCACGCTGGGGCCTCTGTCCACAGCCCCCACAGCTAACCAGTGTTGGTCTTGCATCTCCTTTAGACTCTGTCCCTCTCAGGGGTCCACAGGACCATACTGTACCTCTGCACTCCTACCCCATGGTCACCCCACAACACGGTGTTCAGGAAGGCATGGGAAGCACAGAGCTAACCTCAGCTCCAATCAGAGCCTCGCCATGGGCCTCCATGGTCTTAACTGTAAAATGGGCTCAGTGATTGTCAGAGGAACCAAGCACAAGACCTGCTAGGAGTCCCCCATGTACAAGGGTGTGTGCTGTTCATGTTTCAGGGTGGGGGAGTGCGGGGGGAGGGTTAAAGACTCACTGTGCAACTGACTAGGGAACCAGAGCCCTGGAAATTATAAGGTCTATAAAAGTAGCTTGTTGTAATGAAGGCAACAGTCAATGTCTGCTGAGACCTTGCTGCTGCCCGGGGGCCACTGCCCTTCCTGCACACAGATGGGCAAACTGAGGCCATGTGAGCTATGAAACCCTGTGATAAATGTAGCAGATACGTTTCCTTATCAGTCCACACTGTCTTCTAAGGAACAGGAGCAACTGGTGGTTAAACTCCACAGATGGGGAAACTGAGGCTTGGAGATGCAGCTAGGACCCTCTATGGACCCTAATAGAGAATCAACAAAGCCAGCTTGGAACCTAGAAGTGTGTGTCACACCTAGCATCCAAGTCTCACCACTGGGGACTCAACACACACACACATACATACACACACACACACACACACCAGAGGAGAATCCCTGTCCCTGCAATCGGCTTGTGCCAGCTCAGGGAGGTACTTGAGCTGCTGGCATCCCCTTCCTGGCCTCAGTAAGCCACAGTGGGAATTATGAACACTACAGCCTGGGCTCTACCCATTCTGCTAGGTGTCACCAACCCACCAAGGCTCCTGCCCTTAGCCCAGCCCAGGATGGCTACCATCTTCTCCCATTGTTGGGCCAGGAGAGGCGCCACCCTGGGTCTCCAAAGCTTTCACTCAGGAATAGCAGGTGCTGAACAGTGCTGGTCTCTGACAGTGACAGCCATTGTCCCTTCGAGGGTTAGGGACAGGAGGCTGAGGCTCCCCACAGGCCAGCACTTGAGACCCTGCAACCCCACTGACCTCACAAGGAATGCTGCTCTGAGGGGACAGCAGTGTAGAGGCCTGCCATCTTACTCTGCAGTTAGCCCCATGGCTTCCTGTAGAGTCCCACCCTCTGGTCCCAGCCACCTCTCTGGGGCAGCCTTCCTGGCATCTCCTGCTTGGGAGTCTGTAGGTCTGGGCTGGGGTCAGACCCATCTGTCCTCAGAAACCTTGAATCCTGTAGTCACCACAGACAGACAGTGGGACTTGCTCTCCTCCTAGGCCCCACCTCATCATCATGTAACTAAGACCCACAAAAGAGGCTGAGGCTACCCCCTATCACCCCAGCAGCCCCCTGAAATAAAGGCCAACCAGCAAAGTGGGCAAAAGGCAGACAGAGGGCCAGGTGGGACATCTGTGTTTTCAGGCCACAAGCATCTGTCACCATTGTCAGCTCAGCCACTTCAGAACTAAAGGACACATTATTGGTTTTATTCCTCTTGTAGACTGGCTTTCACGTAGCCCAGGCTGGCCTTGGACTTTCTATGTAGTTAAGGCTGATCCTCCTGCCTCTACCTCCTACCTCCTGGGGTTACCAGCGTCCACACACATACCTGCTTGACGTGGTGCTGAGCCGGGCCTGAGGGATGCTGGGAGAGCACTCTACCCACCGAGCCACATCCCAGTCCCACATCAATGTCTGTGGTGGCAGTCTTGGGCCCTGCAGACACACCCCTGTGACTTCCACACCCCAAAGGCCTCCAGCCCACAGCCTGCTTCCTGCTTGAGGCTGGACCACTCACCTTGGTCCATAATCCCAAAACAAGTGCTGTTATCACTCTCAAATAAAGGAACTGAGGCTGGGGTTGGGGAGGTGGCCCAACAGCTAGGGGCGCTTGTTGCTGCTCTTGCAGAGGACCTGGGTTCAGTTCCCAGCACCCTCACTGACCTCTGAGGCTACTGTGTGCACATGGTGCACAAACATACACTTCCCCCACTCCCCAACAAATCCTTCAAAACAAAAGAAACTGAAGCTGCCGTTTTAGTACCTGGGAAGCTGAGGCAGAAGGATTGCTGTGACTTCTGAGCAAGCCAAAGCTACAGAGTCACTGTCTCAAGCCAACAATACAAAACAAAAGAAAAAGGCTGGAAGAGAGGATGACTCCTCTGAGGTCACTGACAGGAAATTCCAGAGCTGGGACTCGAACCAGGCACTCTAGGTCCTGTGTCTGACATCGGGGCGGAGCTGTGCTCACCTCCCGAGATAAACTGATGAGCCCTCCTCCTATGAACCAGCAGTGGAGGGAAGGGAAGAGCCAGGACTGAGGCAGGGCTGGGAAGAGCCCTGGCCACATAACAACTGAGCTGTGAGGCCAGCAGCGCCCCCTCCTGGCCGGCCAAGGTAAAACGCTCGCCCCCAATCGTCCAGCTCACGGAGCGGCTTCTGATGAGCTAAGGAGGAATATTCTATCATTCCCGATGTTTGTATCGGGCTTGCACACAGAGGGCAGCGAAAACTCAAAGCAACGTGAACAACTGGGGCCCTTGGAGACCCCTTGGCTCATCTAATCACCTCTGCTGTGGCTGGCATTAACCCCAAAGCTTCTGGATGGAAACAGGTCTAGGGGTCCCCGGGGAGGCCCTGATTCTGCAGGGAGATCCTTGGGTGGCCGCCAGCTGTCTGCAGGAAGCAAGGTGATCGGTCAGAACGCTCTGAGCCCTTAGGTGGAGGAGCAGACATACCAGCTGCAGTTTCCAAACCTTTGGTGGCAGCCCGAGGAGCCACCCAGCGTCTTCTCTCTCTGTCCCCCTGCAGCCTGGTTCTGGTTGGCACCTGGTACCGTTGGGACCCTGCAGACCAGCTGAAAGTGGCTTCTCATGGACCTGCTTCCCCGACTCTGAGGGACCCTGGGGACGGTCCTGGGCCTCTGCCTCAGGTGAAGCCAGAATAAACAGAAGTCAGTCTGGCCACAGTCACCCCTGCATCACCGCCCACCAGAAACCTGCAATTTCACCTCATTTTGAGGTAAAGCGGCTAAATTTAGTGTGGTGGGTTTGTGGGTCTGGGCTGCTTTTATGCCTGAGTCCCTCACTTACGGCTGTTTTTTTCTCTCCTAAATGCTGGCCAGGGCTTGAATTGCCTTTGGGAGTTTCTGAAATAGCTCCCTTGGTGTAGCCTGAGAGGAACTGGTAGTTCAGCCCGGATGAGAATGAGTCTAAACAGGAGAGGCAGAACCAGCAGAACGCCCTGGAACCAGACCGTCTGACCCAGAGGGGCCTGAGGGAGGGAGACAACCTCTCGATTTACCGCATGCTCACATGACTTGCCTGGAAGATGGAGAAGAACTGAACTCCTCCTCAGCTGAGTGGATCCAATGCTCCATCAAAACCCTTTGCTGGGCCTGCCCCAGGGCCTTTGCACTGGCTGCCCTTCCACCCACCAGTTGCCCACCTGCAGGTCAGGGCTCACTACTTCCTTCATAAGAATATCCGCTCCCAACCTGGACTGTTTCTGTTCCATGTACACCTCCAGAGCGACCTACTCGTGACTGAATGAATGACAGACGGATATGCTTGAGATTTCTCCCTCCATGTACTTGTTCAGTGAGTATATACCGAGTGTCTACTGTACACAGGCCCCGGGAACCTCAGGAATCCTCCTCTCTCTGCCTTGCCAGAGTTGGGGTTACAGCCACATGCTGGCATGCCTAGCTTCTAGGAGATCAAGGTCACAGAAAGCAAGCCTGGCTTCATTTGGTGGTTTTGTTGAGTTTGGGGGTGGCAGTGGTTGGGTGTCATTGGGTTTTTGATCTGAGGTCTTGCTGTGCAGCCCTGTCTGATCTCTAATGTCCCATTCTCCTGCCTCTGGCTCCTAAGAACTGAAGTAGCAAGCATGTGCCACCACACCCGGCTGCTGAATTATTTTAAGGAAACCTCTGTTTAGGGCACACTGTGTGTTTACGTCTAACAGGTGGTAAATACAGGCCTCGGCACAGCACAGAGTTCCTGGCCCGGCCTTGCCCCTGGCTGTCTTGCCATCCTGGTAGCCACGAGGACCAGGGATCCCTCTGCCCAGCACAGTCTATGGCCCAGACACTTTCCTGCCCTGCTCAGCCTGTGCCCGACCTGTGACTCTCAAACCTCGCAGACTCACTCAGGGCCCGTACTGTGGGTGGACAGGTGGGTCCCTCAATGGCTACTACAGTACCTTGTCCACGTCACAGGGTATGACCACAGCCATCCACAACCAAACATGGGAAAGAGGGAAAGGCCAGCCCATGGTTGGCCCTAAGAGGAAAATCATGCGGTCCTTGGAATATATATGGCATAGAGAGATGGCTGACACCAGAAGGAAGGGTTCAGATTAAAGATGGTAAGTGGACTGGGGCTCTGTGGTGGCAGAGAGCTTGTCTCGCATGCACAAGACCCTGGGTTCAGTCCTCACTGCCAGTGACGAGCTACTGGGGAAAACTTCTAAGGCCAACCTCTGGCCTCTGCATGCGCCGGTGCACACACACATACACACACTACACACACCACACACACACCACACAACACATACCACACACACCACATATCACACATACACACACACATACCACACACACACATCACACACACAACACACACACAACACACACCACATACCACACACACACCACATATCACACATACCACACAACACACAACACACACACCACATATCACACATACCACACAACACACAACACACACACCACATATCACACATACACACACACATACCACACACACACCACACACACACACCACACCACACATGTCACACACATACTACACCACACCACACACACCACACACACTACACACATACACACACCACATATACACCATACGCACACACATACATGCACATACCACACACCATACATACACACACCACATACACATACATGCACATACCACACATATATACACACCAGACACATGTGCACACACACACACACACGTCTGTGTCTGTGTGTGCACAGGTGCAAAACATCCATGTGACATGCACACACCTAAAATAGATGCACACGACCAAGCTCCCCCTTGTTCCCGCTGGTGTAGAGAGGGTCTTGTCATCCGTGAAGCTTCTGAGTTGTGCACCTCAGATGCAGAGCACCCTGGCAAAGCCTGCATCTCCCAGGTAACATGGCAGCCAGTGTCTGCTCCCTTCCCCCTGCAGAGACTCCCACAGTCAGTTCCCTCTTCTCAGACACAGCAGACACACGTCTTCCAGCCCTAGCCAGCCGAGCTGTCACTTTAGGCACTCCTCTAGCTGGGGACATAGCTCAGGGGCAGAGTGTTTGAAGAACATAAGAAAAATCTTGGATTCCAGTCTCAGTAGCATAAAAATAAACAGGATAAAGTAGTATAAAATAAAAAAACAAAATAGAAAATATAAATAAAACCATCCACCAGGCTGGGCAAGAGACTTCAGGCAATCAACAGTGTTGAGTTCACCGCAGCTTCCTGAGAGTTTTCATGTTCATAAATCCTGCCCCTGCTGGGAAAGCAGTTTCCAGCATGGCATGGCCCAAGGCGGAAATTCCAGGAACTGACTCTAGGGGGCGCAATGGAGCAGCAGAGGGAGCCTGGCTTTCTACCCCCTTCATTACATTTAATATCATTTTACATGTGTGAGTGTAAATATACTTATAAATTTATATCATATATAAAAGTACAGTTTTTTTTCTGTGTATCCTGCATGCCTAGAGTCCACAGAGGTCAGAAGACAACACCAGATCCCTTTGAACCAAATTTTCAGATGGCTGTAAGTCACTGCGTGGGTCCTGGAAGTCGAACCAAGGTTCTCCCAAAGAGCAGCCAGTGTTCTTAACTGTGAGCCAGCTCTCCGGCCATTCCCCACCCACGTTACTTTATTTTTGTTGCATTTTGTTTTAGATTTTTTGAGATTGGGTCTCTCCACATCGCCCTGGCTGTCCTAGAACTTGTTATATAGACCAGGCTGACCTCCAACTTACAAAGATCCACCTGCCTCTGCCTCAGGAGCGCTAGGGTTGAAGATGTGTGCCACCGCATCTGACTATATCCCTTGTGCTTTGCATTTTGGGCCACAAACAGGAACATAAAAATGATTTAAAAATCAACCACAACAGGGCTGGGATGTAGCCCAGGATACGCCCGGCAGTGCAAGGCCCTGATTCCCATCTCCAGTATTATAATGAAAATGAAACCCATGGACCCAGCCAGGCAGAAGGTTCGGGAGAAAGGGGCTTACTGCCTGAGCCTGGAGACCCCAACTTCATCCCGGAACGGACGTAAGGATGGGAGGAGGGAACTGACACAAGGTCTCCACACGCAACCATGTGTGCACTCCACCCCTGCAGTAATAGTAATTGGGGAAAAATCAGATACTAGACTTGGGGGTTATCTTAGTGCAAGTGACACGCGGCTACATTTGGTTAAGCAAAATAAAATTCTGCTTTTTTCAAAAATTCCTTAGGAACATTTTGACACGAAGAATGTGATATCTTACATCTGTTTTTATATTTTTTTAAAAAAAAGTACAATTCTTCTGGTCTTTTCCTGTACAAAGAATAAACAAATCACCGCCCTTGGTTTGGTCAAGGCACAAGGTGTATAGCACGGGTGTGCGCAAGGTGTTCATGGCGGGGGTATTAGTTAGAATGTGTGCGTGAGTACGTGTGTGTGCGTGTGTGCGCGCACGTATGTGTGCAAGCATAATGGTTTTATTGCCAAGTATATCAATTAGGTATTTCTTTTCTTTTTTCTTTTTGGGACAGGGGGCCTCTACATAGTCCTAGCTTTCCTGGAACACACCATGAAGATCCATCTGGCCTCAAACTCAGAGATCCGTCTGCCTCTGCCTTTCAAATGCTGGGATCAAAGGCGTGAGCCACCACTGCCCAGTCTTTGATTAGGTATTTCTTATAAGAATTTCTCAAGCCAGATGTGGTGATGCACACCTGCCTGTACTATCGAGGTAGGGGCAAGCAGAAACTTCTGAGCCAGCCTCAGCTACACAGAAAAATTTGAGAGTAGGCTGGGTTGCACACAACCTCATCTTGAAGAAGAAGAGGAGGAAGAGGAAGAGAAGAAGGACAAGGAAGAAAAAAAAGGACCCCCCCCCTTCCAATATCAGTTCTAGAAAGGCCAGGTTCTACAGTAACTCAGAACAGGACAGTCAAGAATGCAAAACCTACCACCCTATGTACCTTTCTGCTTTGAAGACAAAACAAAGCCGGGCGGTGGTGGCGCACGCCTTTAATCCCAGCACTTGGGAGGCAGAGGCAGGCGGATTTCTGAGTTCGAGAGTTCAAGGCTAGCCTGGTCTACAGAGTGAGTTCCAGGACAACCAGGGCTATACAGAGAAACCCTGTCTTGAAAAACC